CACGCGCACACGCGCACACGCGCACACGCGCACACGCGCACACGCGCACACGAGCACACGCGCACACGCGCACACGCGCACACGCGCACACGCGCACACGCGCACACGCACCCGCGCGAACGCGAACGCGAACGGAAGCGGAAGCGGAAGCGGAAGCGGCAAAAATCCCCGGGGAAGCGGAAGGGAGGACGAGGGGAAGCGGGGGACGGGAAAGCGGAAAAGGGAAGGAAGGGGAAAGGAACAGCGAAGCGGAAGCGGAGGAAGCGGGGGAAGGGGATGGAACGCGGAAGCGGAAGCGGAGGGGAAAATCGGGAAAGCGGAAAGGAGGGAAGGGGAACGGAAAAAGGGAACCCATCAGGGATAGCGGGAAAGGAAATGGAGGAAGGAATAGCGGAACAAGCGGGAAGGGAGAGAGAGGGGAAGCGGGAGGGAAAGCAAGAGGGAAGGAAGCGGAACCGCGGAAGCGGAAGCGGAAGCGGAAGCGGAAGCGGAAGCGGAAGCGGAAGCGGAAGCGCTCATGCATTTGCGCATGCAAATGCAACGGCGGTCGCCCGTCCAGGCGTGCGTTTTGTTTTTCCGCCCTGTATATCCTTGCACTGTGTTGGGCAGACTGGTTTTTGATCCAACTGGGTGCTTCAACTCAAGTTTTGGCAAAGCAGGGAAGCGAAGGCAAGCCAGCCACGAAGAGTTCTATTTTTGGTTGTGCTCGCAGAGGCCTCACGAGATCGGTTCGAACCCATGCGGAACCTTCATTTTTAGGTCGAGTGAATGATACACCACTCAGACGTGACATTGACATAGAAGCTTTGCCAGAAGATTCGTCAAGGAGATCAGATACCCGCCCACCGAACCCGACGGGGGAAGTCCCAGAAGACCATTTTTCCTTTTGAAGGGACCCCTGTGACTGTTGGGTTGTTGAGCTGTTGGGCTGCTGGGCTGATGGGTTGTTGGGTTAGGCTGTTGGGCTAATGGGTCAGGTTCCGTGTTAGTTGGTTGGGAGGGTATCCTTGATCATTTGTTCTTGAAGCTGTGACACGGGCAACGAGATGGGCGCCGCCAGTCGAGATCTTGTGAGGGGTGGGGGCGGCTATGCAACATGGAAGACGACGCCAAGTAGATCCAACGTGGACATGATGGATGTAACAAAAATGCAAATGGATTCACCTATGGATATTCTGATCTGGATCACCCTCATTTCCTCTTTACTGTACAAGCAGCTGGTTGGCATCCAATGGATTTTTGAACCTGACAGCCACAAGGCTTGAAGTCTTCGCCAGGTGATGGTTCGAAACATCCCTAAGGCGCGCTGGAACGGAACAGGGGGGGGGGAGGTTCCACTGTTTTCTTTCCTTCTTGTCAGATTTAGTTTTTCCGGGCCTTACAGCACTTTGGAGCATTGATCTCAGGTGTTCTCTTTTTCACTGTCAAACTTCTTGCCGAGATCCTTTCGACACAGCAGGCAAAGGCCCTGTCAGTCTGCCCGAGGCAACCCCTCCATGTTTTTTCAAGGACTGCGAAGGAGGTCTTTCGGTCAATTGGGATCCCTTTTGGGACCCGCGCAACTGCGGGCCACCAAAGGAGCTGCTTTTTTTTTCTTCTTCTGACACCCGAGATGTAGCTTGGAAGAAGCGCTCCTTCTTGTCTTGTTGTCCCCCGTTCTTCCCGCTTTTTCAAGATTCGGCCGACTTGTTTGGTTGCTTGGCATTCGGCTTTAAGCCCTTTCGGCTTCGAGAACTGCTCTAGGGGTTGATTCCTTGTCCGTTCTTTTCGACCATCGTTCTTTTCAAAAACTGGATCCGCTTTCCCTGGTTTTTCGGAGGCTTTCTAGAAAGAAGCATCCCTGGAAAGATTGGACATGGGGACGGTGCCCCTGGATACTTGCCTGGCTTGTTACCTTCCCTGCTTCTCCCGGGAAGCCCGCTGCTTCGGTCGGAACGAGGCCTGCAGCCGCGAAGCCTTCGTGGAGCTGCTGGTCCCCTGCGGCCTGGGGGACAGGCGCGAGCGCGAGCCGGGGGAAGCCGCGCGGCCTGGGGCAAAAGTCACACCAAGTGAGCCACGTGCTCAAAGCCCGGGGATTGACGAAATTTGGTAAGGGAGAGAGTCCCAGCTATGAATTGCCGCGGAATTCCGCCTTCTTCATTCTTGAAGCATGGTTCGGGGTAGACCACTTGACGGCGCGTGCTGGCCCATGTTTTGCGGATGGTTGAAAAATGGCCATGGGGCAAATCACCTACGGCTCCATTTTGAGGTGGATGGACATCCATTTGCTACCAATTTTGATGGTCACCAGGGGTGCAGGGTTTTGACCCACAGCCAAATCATGACTGCTCGAAGCTCAGTATTTCACATTCGCATTCCACGCTTGAGCGTCCCGCATGCACCTCAGGGGAGAAAGCACACTCAGCACCTCAAACCAGCATTTCAGCCGCCAACTAGGCTCAAGCATGATGCATGCAATGTCCATGCTCCAGCATTTCGTTGGTTCACAGTTGTGTGAGGCGCGCGCCAAGCATGACTGCGCTGTTGACTGCGCTGTTGTGTGCCTTTTTTTTTTTAGGAAAGGACGATTCACTCTTTTGTGGTCAACCACTTCCGCCGCACATGACATGTCCGCTCACATTTTTCGACCAAGATTGGATCGATCCCACATGGGAGCCTGGAAGCTCTTTCCGATTTCTCGGCCAAGGCGTTTTTTCTTCTTTTGCACATGTTACTTGCGCACCGAATAGCAGCATCGCGACACAAGTTGGCCACCTTCCCAACTTTTCAGGAACCCTTTTGTTCATGGCTTCTTTGGTTTTCAGGGGGGCCGGCTGGCATGTGAGTGACTTGGGTTTCCCAGCTGCACCCTCAGTCTTTCCAAGTCTCTTCTTTGCCTCGCTCTGAAACCAAGGTTGGATCGTCGTGGATGAAAGATGAAAGCCAGTTTTCCAGCTTGAGGCACTGAGGCTGTTGGATGGGAGATTCTCCCGCTTCAGGTGTACAAAGGTGTTGGGTTGGGCAAAATTGGGTGGGTAGGGCTCGGGCTTGGGTCGAAGTTCGGTGGGTCAGTCGGTTGGTCAGCTGTCCGACTGGTTGGGTTTGGTCGGGCTTCGCAAAAAGCTGTGGGATTGTAAGCCCTCTGCGCCGTGGAGACCGGGAGGTACACCTTCTTCTACATGCCCTTTGACAAGCGCCGCAACATTCACTGCGGCTTCGCCTTCATCAACTTCAGGCGCTATCGCCGAGGGGTGTGATGAGTTCTCAGCTGCCTAAGGCTCGGGATGAGACGATCTTTTGCTGGTTTGATAGGTGGAATGACCCGGAGAAGAATCATCTTTGATTTGGTCTCCTTCAAGTATTAAGGGAATCCCGAAACAGTTCATTGCCAACACCCGGACTCGGTCATTCCCTACCGCACCAGCAAGCAAGACCGGGTTGGAAACAAATCAGAAGGGGGCAGACACCTACCTTGGCGGAAATACTCTTGCTTGGCTTGGGCCCGGATCATTTCCTTAAGCTCTGGGAATCAAATGCTTTTTGGGGTACCAAATTTGATCGGATCTTAATTGCAGGCTGGCCAGGTGCCAGTCTGCAAGGTAGTGCGACACCCGTTGGCATCTCTTTGCCAAAGGAGCGAAGAATGCCATGAGGTAGATGAGCGGAAGACATCGAATGGAGGGTCCCCCCACGTCGCTCTGGCTTCAATGGATACTGTGGATGGACAAAATCCTGCACAACTACCAATAGAAACCATTTCTTTTTACAGGGGAATCATCATTCCGGGGATGTTTAGGTGGTGCATTTCGTCCATCCACAGTCTCACAGTAAGCAGTACCTGCGCGATTTCACCGCGGAGCAACCTCAGGGCGCCCTCCGATGTCCTGGTTCTCTGCGAGCGCATGACGCGCCTCGGCGGGGGGAATGGCTCCCCTTCCCGGGCCTGCCGCCTTTCATCTTGGGACTGTCTAGGGTCGACGGTCAAAGGCATAGGTGTCCCTTTTTGGTTGGTTTGGTCAAGAAATGGGTTGGGCGATTCCTGGCTTGCCTGGCGGTTTAATCATCCACCAACAAAATCCATCTATTTGCCCCAAAAGAAAGGGTTTTCGGGACATTTTCGGAGGTTAGGAGCCAGGTCGTCTTGTTGGCAGTTTCAGTCGCCAAGAGCGGGGGCCGAGGGCCCCGGTGCCTTCGTTTGATGTACTTCTTCCCGTTTTCCGGCATCCTTCTCAGCTGAAGGCTGTGGGGGCGTTCGCCTCATGGGTGGATTCACTAGATGCCGTATGTCACAAAGCTAGCGACAACAAAGGGGGTTGGCACATGTGCACGTGTCTGTTTGCATCACATGTGTTTGAAGAACAGTTTCTTTCAGAGCCCGAAACCGGTTGGTTCCGTGCTAGAGGGTTGGTCCGAACTCTGCCAAGCTCAAAAACTACTTGCAGAAATGTAAGTATTTCTGCTGCCCGAAAGTTGTGTGGAAGGCAAAACACGGCTTCGCATTCGCTTTTCTCAGGCCGTCGTTCTGGCGAGCCTACTTGAACCGTGGGCACCTGACCGTTTGGTGCTCAGCCGGAAAACGTTGGGTGATGACTGATGGCCTTTCAGGGCGGAGCTCCCTTCGGCTTCGGCTGAGGCTAGCGCTGGGTCAACCACATGATCAACAGGAAGAGGTTGGCTCAGTGCTATAGTACTATTTTTGTTGGTTCCTAATCTGATTGTTGAGGTCCAAGCTTGCGTTTGAGCCACGAGACAAGAGCTGAAGCAAGGGAGCAGGCACCTATGGTGGGGGCCTTTTGACAGGGGCTCCGGGGCCCAGAACAGCTTTCGACGTGGGCGGCCTCAAACACCAAACGTCGATGTCTGGGGGGGCTTAGTTCTACTATGCACCTGCACCTCAGCATGACATGCTGTGGAAGAAGTGCAACAAGAACACTTCCAAGCAGGCACATGGGCCGTCGCCATGTTCCAGCTTGAAGAAATGACACATCAACACCTGTTCTTCCTTGAAACTGCTTGTTTTTTTTGTTTGGGGGGGGGGGGGTTCGGGTCCCTTGGAATCCTTCCTTGAAGTTCCTTGGGATCCCTTGCGGTTTGGAATTCCTTGGACTTCCTTTTGAAGTGCAACGCTGGCAGGGGACTTCCCACAAGAAGGTAAGGGCCATGGTGTTGGGTGGGTCTCTTAGTCCCTTGGAAATTCAACTTGTGTTTTCTTGGGTCCCTTGGACTTCCTTGAGGTTTTTTTGGCGTTTGGGTCCCTTGGACTTCCTTTTAGGTCCCTTAAACAATTTGATTTTTCTTGGACTTCCATTGGACTTCCTTGGGCTTTCCCTGGGCTTTGGGTTCTTTGGGGAGTCCATGGCTTGAGCTGCCCCTCGCCTCGTGCCTCGTGGGACACGAGGCCGCCACCATGCCGGCGGTGAGCTATGCGCGCCTCCAGGGCCAGGCGGGGATCGCTCGCTTGGGGGCTCGCGGGTTTGGGGGGCGAGTGGCGTGGCAAATGAGGCTTGGGCTGGCCGGCTATTTCCGGGGGCTTTCATTGAAAAAAAGGGGGGGGGGTTAAATTGAATCCTGGGTCGGCATGAGGGTTGGCAAGAAGTAAAAGAACAACTTGAAGGCGGACTTGGGAGGTTTCTCGCGTTTTTTTCAAAGAAGAAAGCGTCGCGAACTGGAAACAATGCCTCGCCCACAACATGGGGAAGCAATGGTTTTGGGCGAATCGCGCTCAAGGAAGCCCATCAAGTGTAAGAGAAGAGTTGACTAAAGCCACAGGGTCATCAGAGCCCGCCAAGTCCTGCAAGAAGCCAAAGAGAGGATGAGACAAGAGGAGTTGGCGGTGGAACATGGGCGGTGTTTATGTGGAAGGCTTCACCTCGTAGCAAGCTCTTTTAGCTTGCGCGCCGCTTCTCGGCGGTGTTACGGCTTGTCCAAGGGCTTAGATTCAGAATGGGCGTGTGGTATGGGGACCCCCGCAAAGATCCTCAGAAAAAGGTTCTACAACAACTCCCAATGGATTGGACACAGGCAGAAGTGCAGGGTTTGTCGGGGGCGGGGAGACAGGCCTTTTTCCAATCTTCACGGTATCAGTCGCTGTTCAAATCAACACAAGGAGGTGAAGAGAGAGAGAGAGAGAGAGAGAGAGAGAGAGAGAGAGAGAGAGAGCGAGAGAGAGAGAGAGGGAGAGAGAGAGAGAGGGAGAGAGAGAGAGAGAGAGAGAGAGAGAGAGGGAGGGAGGGAGGGAGGGGGAGGGGGGGAGAGAGAGTAAGAGCGAGCGAAAGGAGAAAGGAAAGACAGAGAGAGAGAGAGAGAGAGAGAGAGGGCGGGAGGGAGGGAGGGAGGGAGGGGGAGGGGGGGAGAGAGAGTAAGAGCGAGCGAAAGGAGAAAGGAAAGACAGAGAGAGAGAGAGTTCAGCGGCAGCATATCTTTTCCCTTGCCCAGCCGGAAGGCAATTGTAAGGGGGGCTTATCTTGGTAAGCTTCCAAGTAGCCAATGGTTTCAAAGTGGGGGGTGACCCTCCAAAGAATCTCTTTCTGCACGTGTACAGAGTATGCCACTGTCCAAGATCCCAAATGTCTGGTTTGATGGTTTCCTCCATGCCCCAAAATGGTGTCCCCAGGCTTGACGCAGCCATTTGGCCATGGGGCAGAACCTATGGCGATCCCATTTTGGGGTGGATGAACATTTATTTGCCACCTATTGTGATGTTCACCAGGGGTTTCCTGGGTTTTGACAACCACAGCCATTTGCCTAAAAATGGGATCCCATTGGCGTTGACAACCACGGCCATTTGAGTAAATCGGAGCCTCCAAGTGGAGGCTCGCCGGCACCAGGGACACCTCCAAAGATTGCGTTGGCTCTCCTTCCAAGAAGCCAAGTCTTGGCCGCCGCTTGGCCCACGAAGCGCGAGGATCAGTTGACGAAGCACTTCAGCCTCTCGGCGGTGATGCGCGACAGCGATGCCCGGGCGCTCAGAGAAGTGTGTCGCGGGTGATCGATCCATGTGGCGTAACTCGGAAGAACTTTTTTTCCTGAAGGGGAAATACATATGCATATAGTTAGTATGCATATTTACATACATAATGTAATATATTCATATCTATATACATAATCTGGGAACTTCCGCACATCGAACTAGACCTAAGTCGCATGCAGGTTTGTCTGTTTTTTTTTGGGTGTGGGATTGCATGCGGTAAGCCTCATGTTAGCGTGCGGAAGTTGCTACGGCCCTTGTCGTCCACATGTTTACACAATATTTGCTCAAAGTCAGCAAGTGCGGGATTGTTGCCGACCTGACTCCAAATCAGTTCATGATTTTTTGGAGATGGATACCAACCCTCTCTGCCACTTGGCGCCTCCCTCTGCCGTCTCTCGGCCGGACGCCTGCTCGCCGGACGCTGCGCGGGCGAGGCGCGCAAGCGCCCCGTCTTCTGCTCCAAGACCGGTGGCCAGAAAGTGTTCCTCGAGGCGGGAGCCTTGAATCTCGCTCGGCTTCTTGCCTGTGGGTTCAGCAAACATAAAGGTCGCATGGGGTATCTTGAAGAATAAGACAACTTTCGGGGGTGGATGGAACGCATTTTTGTACATGGTCATTTTGGAAGTTTCATTTTAAGGGGGCCAGTCTGGCTCCATGTGGTTTGATAGCTGGGTACAAAATGAACTGGGTTCGAGTGAAAGGCGGCACAGCACTGTGTGACCCCGTACCCCTGCAGCAGGTGTACCCCTGTGAACAAGAATGCTCTTCTGTGTATATTTAGGTAATGCCTATGTCAGAGGTCCTTTGTGTGTTTGGATCAAACACGTCGATGCCAGCAAATACTTGTAGTTTTGCTCCAGATCACAAGTTGAACTTCATGCAACAAATTGTCCTCCTTGTGCAAAATGTTTGTTGTTGCCCAGAACTTGGCATTTTGCTTCCGGTCTGTACCAACATTGCTTCAGGCACGATCACGTGTGGAAACGTTTTGCAAACCCATGATCTCTCAGTCTGGGTACACACCATTTGATCTTGGACATGTTCTGGGAGCATCTCCAGGTAGCTTATAATGTCAGAGCGCACACACATATATCTTTATGCAGAATCATAGTAGTGGATTCTCGTAGTAATGTCAGTAGCAATCGGATGGCAATAGTTACAGCGACAGTAAAAGTAAACGAAAAGTAGAAGTAACATTAATAGTGATAGCGATAGCGATAGCGATAATAAGAGTCATAGTTGTACTAGTAGCAGTAGTTGTAGTGGCAGTGGTAGTGGTAGTAGTAGCAGTAGTAGTAGCAGCAGCAGCAGTAGTAGCAGTAGCAGTAGTAGCAGTAGTAGTAGTAGTAGTAGTAGTAGTAGTAGTAGTAGTAGTAGTAGTAGTAGTAGTAGTAGTAGTAGTAGTAGTAGTACTGACAGTGATGGCAATAGTAATGGCGCGGCTACATGTACCATTCGACTGTTGGCCAATAGTGGTGGTACTAGAAATGTAAAAAGTAGGAAGAGCCATAGTAAAACAAGAGCAAAGGAAGCAGTTCAATCGAATCGAAGCTGCGCAGGAGGAGTTGGAGGCGCGGACCTGTTGCTTTCGATTTGCTGGTTGAATTGTCTAGAATTGCGAGTCCCAACCATGCGGGGGTTGATCAGAAGGTCGTCTTTCGGGGGTCCTGCCATTGATTTCCGGAGCCGATTACGGAACGCTCACTGACGGCTTTCAGATTGAGATTGATTCGCAGCGGCGCGGCGTTGTGCAGGAACGGCGCAGCTGGATGAACCAAAAAGGATCCCTACTTTGTCCCTTCAGCCACGTATCACATTCTTTTTCAGCGTCATGTGTTGGACGATACGGAGCCCTGCTCCGCAAGATAAGGGACCACGTATCACACTGCAAAGCTGGTTTTGTCTTCAAGTTTCACCACCCAACCCCGAGCGGCTCGATCGGCAATCAACCAGTCGGTTCCATATTGGATTCCATTCTACCTTGTGTTTCGTTTCCATCACCCTTTGGGGATGGTTTTTGGGTCTTTGGATATCCTTGTAAATCACCAGCGCCTTGCATCCGGTCAAACTCAACTCTCAGGTTATTCCTTTGATCTTCGACGGGTTTCAATCAGAACACTTGGATTTGTTTAGAGGAGAGCGCGCCGGATTTCAGGACACTGTCCTCTGTCAGATGGCCCAAAGGCAGTGAGGCTGTAAACCTGACAGGAGACCCATGAGGATGAGGACAAATACGCGCCCGAGCCTCGGGACGCTCTGCCCCTCTCGAAGGAAAAAGCCAAAAGCCCATCCTCGGCTCTAAGTCGCCATGGCCAAACATCGGGTCCTCAGTTGCGGGTGTTTTTGCTTTGATACACCACCCCGCCGAATGCAAGAATTTGCAGTGTCCTGAAGTGGTGACAGATTGTGACCTTGGCCGTCCGAGCCGAACCTTGGCACAAGTCCCGAAGACCTGGCCCCTCCCCAATAGCGACGCACGGAGGGCTGCGCTAGTTTTCTTGAACCTGCCTGCCACACATGTGCGGCAACTGGATGCTTTGGCTGTGAGAGGGTAAACGCTGGAAGCATAGTTGTCCTTTCTGGTTGTTTTAGTCGAGAAGTAGGTTGGGCGATTCCTTTACCTGGTGGTTTTATTCAGCTACCAGGGAAATCCATCTATTTGCCCCAAAAGGACACCTACAGCCGGAAGTCCTTAGAGCCCCGCGCTCCCAAACTAGGCGGAGCTTGTAGGGTGCCAAGCATGTAGAGCTGAGGCTGGTGAGGTACGGTTCAATGTAAACAAGCTGTATACCTGCTGGGCAATCGCTTAGGAGACTCCCGGCAAGATTGCCAGCTCTTCCCACGCTATGAACTCCATAAAAGGCTCTCGATTTGGAATGGAACCAAGCAAACGTGATCAAAATGTAGGAACTCCAAGTTGCCTCTCAAACATTATGATTTGTACACATATCCATATGCATGTGCATTTGTAGGCACCTGCCTATGCATTTCGTTGCCAAGCGCAATTCCTGCAGCCCTGCCCATAGATTCAAATGTTCCAAGCAAAACAAGAAACATTTGAGCAGCTGCGGGTGTTTTCAAGCTTTGTTGACCAACGCCTTTGTGCAAGCAGGTCATTGACTAAGCAAACGGAAGAAACGCTGAGCAGGTGTGGGTGTTGTCCACCGTCGTTGAAAAAGCAAGACCAGATAACCGTCCCAGCCAGCAACTTGTCGGCTTCTTCTGTGGGGGGAAGTAGGGTCCGTAACTATTTGTACAGTCTATATGCATGTATGCTTCGAGCAACTTGGGCTTTGTTGGACACTGCACATTGGCGAGTCACTGTGAGTGGCTGTGGTTGCTCAGTCCAGTCAGCAAGATGTTCATGAGAAAGATCGACACGAGCTCGTCGGTCGCCAGTTTGGGCGGTTTGAAGGAGGTCCCTTTAAAAGGAAAATGGTCGAAGCCAGCACCTCTGGAACGTCAGGTTCCATGTAATTGGTGGGAGGGTATGTACCAACCTTGTCGGTGGATTACAGATGATCTGCTGAGTTAGAGCTCCTTTGTGAGCCCATGGGAGACCATCCTGAGGGTTGTCAGAAGTCAGAGCGGCTCTGTGATGGCCCCTGCTGGCTCTGGTCGAAAGGCTCAACCAGCAGCATGTGCAATAGAAAGATATGTGGTTTGGGAGACATGTGATATACATCTATATCTGCATATATATATATATATATATATATACACATGCACACTGTACACACATGCATGCGTGCGTGCGTGCGTGCGTGCGTGCGAACGTACGTACGTTCACACAAACACAAGCATGTGGTGTATCTGTATGTGGGTAATTGCGTACACGTACCATACATATGCATTTGTACACGTTTTCAGCACTGGCAGTGTCTTGTCCGGCAGCCAAGGCCATGCTACATCTCCACCACGGGTGTGCAGGATCCCGCTGGTTGGTCGATTAGATCGGTCGACGCCCCCTATTTTCGAGCAGTTTTTCTTCCATTTGCCAAAACAGAAACACCTCCCTCCCCCTTCGCGAAAAGCAAGAAAAAGGCCGCAGCGCAACGAGTCGCATGGGAGATGGGGAACGCGCTAGGAGCTGAAGCTGCAGGACGGGAACTGGAAGGCTTGGGGGATTCGATGGGAAGCCCTCCCGCTGGAGCCATGGATGGCTCGAGTTGGATGGTCGGCGCCTACCTGCAGTGGGTTATACTCATTTGGCCATGGTTCAAAACCAATGGGATTCCATTTTGAGATAGGTGCACCCATTTTAGGACCTATTTTAGTGGTTGGATTGGTTGTTCACTGGGGGTACGATTTGGATTTGACGCATGGCCATTTCACTTCTTGAGTTCCGTTTCGGACTTTAGTGTGACTTTTTGGGTTTGGAGCATTTTGGTGGTAAGAATAAAAGGTTTGGTGGCATCTACTCGGGAATTGAGTGTAGCCGTGGCTCTTTCATTTGGAAGACAAAGGTTGGAGGCGCCTACTACTTCCTAATGCGTCTAAGATTTGTTCTGGCTTTCTGACCGATCCAAAGCATGATTGACCTCTGGTTAGTAGGAATGAGGGACTGACCACCATATATCCCTATTGTCCATTTTCTGAAAGTTAGAATCATTCGTCTTCATGCAATTGCGCTTGAATCAAGGAAACCATCTTGAAATGCAGTACACCATGAATTCCCCCTCCTATTGATGGGGTCCCAAATATTCGCAGACTTTCCCGCCACACACTTGATCAACATGGGTGGCACACGAACTTGGTGCGCAATGAAGTTCATGATATCCTTTTCTGGGTGCCTCTTCAGGTATTGGAAGATTCATAGGTATGACTCAAGCTGAGTCATTTTGAGCAAAGCAGATGCCCGGAGAAGGGGAGACGCCGTGCGCTAGGACTTGTGCGTCGGGCCGGAGAGCCGGAAACCCAGACGAAGGGAACTGGTAGTGGGGACTGCTTGGGTCGGAAAATGAACGTGGAACCGAAAGGGGGTCTTTGCCCAAGAGAGTCCTCAAAATGAGAGTTTTTTGGGGGGTTCATGGTTTCATGTCACTTTGCGGAGGTGCAAGAGTAAGTCCTCCTTGGGGAGGTTTTGAGAAGAGTATCCACGCCAGAACGCGAGATAAATTCGGCGAAGGTGTAGCCGCGAAGCACGCCAGGGGGATGCGAAATCTTCCCTTGCAAAGTTGAAGACATGCACAGTACTACAACCAGCACCGGCACGACAGATTCCCGGAATGGAGCGCACACCGTTCTGATATCGAACTTCCACATGAGCCCTCATTGTGATGCCTAAGAGCCAAGGGTGCTTTTAGGCGCCGTTTGAATGGGGAACGCACAAACCACCCGTTTGAAGGTTCTTGGTGACGGATACCCGGAGCACACCTCTCCTCCCCTGCCCGACGAGAAGCGGAGGTGCCAACATTGAATTGGAACGCAACGGAGGTGTTTGAGGCAGCTTCCTCTACAACTAGCACGTGGGGAAAAAGACGGGAGAGAGAATCGGCCGGTTCTTGCAGCCTCGCCAGCCACGCCAGAGGTTTCCGATGGAATGTCTAACGAGTTGGACCCCTTTGAAAAGTGATGTTTCCTTGAAACAAAGATGGCAAAAGGCTGGTTTCATGTTGATTTTCCTTTCAGTCGTCAACCAGGTGCCAGATTTGGACGTATCACCCGGCCACTCGTGACAGCTTTCACTTCCACAGTTTCCCTCGCATCCTAGCCCAAAGGGCTTCAAGTTGGACGCCGAGGGCGCAGTTCGGCAAGGAGTTCTGCCCCTGGAATTTTGATGATCTTGAGGGCCCATAGTCGCGCATGGTGGGGTTACTATGTTCTGTTGTTTCCAAACCATTTAAGTGTTGCCCACGCCAAGGGACCGTTTCCCTTCAAATACGCCGCAAGTAGGTCCCTTCTCCCAAAAGAAGGAAGGATGCCTCCGTCTGAAGGCAAATAGCCGTTCAAAGACCAACCTGTTCTAGATGCCAGGAACACATCCCTCACCCTTTTCAAGGATCCGATCTCGCCGATGTCGCCCCGGTTCCTTCCGCTGGCTCCACTGAGGCATCGCCTTTATGATGAAGGGCGGATGTGGTGCCTGAGGCGGTCGGGGGGCATGGCAGTGTCGAGGCTTCCTCGCCCTGAAACCAATTGTGTGGGCGCTTCTGCTCACCGAGCGGTCACTTTGTTTGACAATCTTATTTCTTGGTGACTCAACTTCCATCATTTGCCGCTTGGTCGCACAGCTTGACGTTTTGGGGAAGCGACCCGTCGTGTGGACAAGCTGCTTTTTCAAGATCAAAGGTAGTCCTTGGTTGCGGGTACGGGAAAGAATCCCAGCAGGCAGACTCTTTGGACTCTTTGGGTGCATAGGCTCGGCAGTCCGGCTGCAGGGACTGACATTACCCGGAAAGATGGACACCTCCGAATTCCTGCCAGAATTCGGCAGCTTGGGACTCATGTGTTGGACCGTTTTTTGTTTCTTTGACCCGCTCGGGTCAACACCAATACAAGAATGGAAGGTCGCATTTCAGCAACTCCAGTTTTTGCCGCTCGCGCGTTTTTGCAAACGTCGTGTTTGCACGTGGCCCTAGCCATGCAGGCCATACGTACATATGTACATGCTAGGTTCCGCATCCGCGCATGCAGCATACTTACACTCCGCGATCCCGGCCACGGCCGTTTTCTGCTTTCGCCTTTGGAAGGGTGGGCGAACCCAGCTTCTTATTGGTTGCTTGGGTTTCTTAGGTAGCGCTGTTGGGATGCCAGGATTCCTTACGAGGCATTTTGGGCGTGCTGAGACTAAAGGCCTTGCCCAGATAGTAGTGCGAAGTTGTGTTGCGAGGAATCCTACCCAAAGGAAACATTCCTATCGTAGTTGACTCACCCGCAACAAGATGGTTCGCAGCTTGACAATGTCCTCCGGAGTCACTCAATGCCTAGCCCAGCAAATATACCGGGTGATCGATGCCGCTCTTTTGTCGTGTTCTCCGCGAGCACTCAGCTGGATCTCAGGTCGTGACCGGCGTTGCGACAGGGCAATGCAAGACCCGGGCAACGCAAGACTGCAATAAGAAGAGAAGTTGCGAAGGCGTTCTGATCGCCGGAGGCTTTGCTGGTGGCGAGTCCCCCGAAAAGTTTCTCAGACATTGAAATCATTTTCCGAGCGGACCGATTCGGGGGCCTGAGACAGCTCGAAACATCGCGGGGAGCGCTGGTTTCGGGTTACTGAGTTATTTGTGTAGTGTATGGGGAAGTCCTCCTATGACGGAAGCCGAGCGGTTGAAGTCCTGGGACAACGAATCGCTTGAAGATTCCTCCTCTAGCCATGACCATGGAAGTTTTGATCAACAGGTGGAGATGTGTACCACAAAAAGAACATGAATACCCAAGTCACAGTTGACGCTCCGCTATGAATCCCCATGCAGCAGCTCTGGACTTTAATACACACACAGCCGGTCAGAGGAAAAACACCGCCCGGCAGCGTCGCCCGCAGCGAGTTGCCCCAAAGCGATTTTTGTTTTCGGCGGCCGCCTGGGGCTCAGCAGTCTCAAAGGAAACTGGGCAAGGAAAGCACCACTCCGCCAGCAACGTCTCCTTTGCTCGTCGCCGAGAGTATGGGAAGCCGGATACGCTCGGGAAAAGAAGAAGCACTCGTCACCGATGACGAGTGTCCTTCTCCGCGGAAGTTCTTTTCAGCATGTTGCATGGAGGATGAGTTTTGTGTATTGCAAAGCCCCACCCGCTCATAGGTAAATGCTGCCCTTTATGGGTCTCTTTCAGAGTCCGAGCAGCTGCAACAGATACAATAGAAGGTTAAACACAGTGCTCCCAGTTTTTGGTATGGATAAGATGGCCGTGGGTCAAAACCAATGGTACCATTTTGGGGTAGGTGCACCACCCATTTTAGTCTATTTTAGTGGGGATTGGGATGTTCACTGCAAATACGGATGGCCATATTATTTAAATTATGTTGCAAGTGAACTTTACCTTTCAGACGCCTTGTGCTGAAACCTTCTATTTGAATAGCATGTCCGTCCAATATCCGGCTTACTGTACAGATGTTCAGGGAGTCAGCACAGAGAGACTCGGCAGATGCGGTGCACGGCTAGAACTGGTCTCGTAGAGTCAAGGTGTCATGCTGGGTTGGGAGAACGGCTTAGCGGATGGTCAGCCTTTGGCTTTTCTACTTTGATTGCCTAGTCATGGTTCAAGGGTTCAAGGAGATGTGGCCATTTTAGTCTTTTTTAGTGGGGATTGGGGTGTTCACTGCAGGTACGGGGTGTTGACCCATGGCCATGTCAATTTGAGAGACCCATTCAACCGACTTTATTTTGGGACGGGATGCTTGTGTTGTTTGTGTGTGTGTGTGTGCTGCGACCTCCTTTGTTTCCACTTCTTGCACCCACCTTGTGCAAAGTAGAACTGAGATACTTGTTGCGCCAGTGCAACAAACATACGGCTGGTGGTAGAATCTACAGGCTTTCCTATAGGGCTAGTGTGGGATTGGTTTTGAAACAATTGAGCAGAGACCCAAACCCTTGTCGGCCAATCGAGTAGCGGGTTTTGCTACCTATTTAAGTAATAGGCATCGTAGCTTGCGGTCTACAGAAACTCTTTTACGACCCTTGTTGAGCCAGCAGGCTTTGAACTCGTTTTGCGCTGCCCGCAGGTTTAGCTTCAGATTTCTGCACAAAAAACTTTCATGCGCTTCTGGAGCCACAAACTCGGTGACAATCGGACTGGTTGACCGAATCCGTGCACTGCGCGTCAATGTCTTGGCCCCGTTTCGAGCCGGAGCCACCCTCGATGGACTGAAGAATCAATTTGATTGGCGCTTAGTGCCAAAGTGACGAATTTGTTATCCCTAGTCTAAGGGTTTTTGTATTACACCCTGGGAATACACCCACTGGGTATTGACCCCATGTTGGCACATTTCCGGATAAACACCGTGCTACTTTGAACCATTCTGGGTCACTTCCCAAAAATTGTAATCCCAGGGTGTAATACAAGGACCCTTGTGGGTGTGCCTTTCGTTGTGATACCAACCCCTGAAAGCTCGGGCGAGGTAGCCGTCCAAACTTGGGAAGCATTTGAGATTAGATCGACTGGGTAGAAGTTTGCAAGCCACCTTGTCTCACAGCATCTGAGACATCTGGAGATCAATTTTGGCTCGGAGAATCCTCCCAAACAAACTTGCGATAAGCAAAAGGGGGTCACACAGGCACTGAAAAAGGGTCCTCTAATTCCGTACAAAAGGTATCAAGGAGTAAACCCTGCATTTGATGAACTCAAAGATGCCTTTGCTTGTAAATGGTTCGCGGACCAATGGATGTTTGGGTTGTCCAGTGAGGGCCCCCAGCAACCTTTGTCCTCTGCTTTTGATTTTGAGATTTCTTACGACGTGGTGATGACCTGCACACGGCATTTTATTTCAACATCTATCGTCCACCATGGGGAAGGGGCCATTCCAGAAGGGTTGATTGTTCTGCCGATCTGAGCCTTTGACACCATCCAAAGGTAGAACCTGTTTTTTACTTGTGTTTTGAGATTCGAGTGGATGGTCCTGGCTGACAGCAACTTGGAGGATCAGTCCTCACTCCACCTTTTTGCCTACTGCCCGCTGCCTGCTGGGAGTGTGAAGCTTCGGGTCTCCTCCAAGTCTTACCCTTCATTGCTTTCACGACAATTGCAAGTGGCGACAGAGATAGTCCCAATGGTTCAGTGGACCCTTTCTGCCTTGTTCCAGCTACTGAGGTTCCCTTTTGAGCGAATAAACACCCTTGGCAGGTTTATGACATTTCAACTTTTCCTTGTTGAGCTGCCATGCCTGTGACCCGAGTAATGTCTACACGTTGCTTTGCCGCAGCTTGTGCGCGAGCCCATGGCAGCGGGAACCTGTCGTTCTACAGATTGCATGCGCGCGCTGTGGTCACAGCCAATCGACAGCATTGAAGCGCGCAGGGACTAATCGCCACTGGGGTTCGACCTGCGCCCCCCTGTTTCCGAATGTTTGAGCGGGCTGTGAGAGGCGGTCACAGCCAACCGATCCCTCGGCGGACCACCCGCCTGTAAGAGGGGCAGGGCCGAAGGCGGAGGATTTGTTGAAGATTCACGTTGGAGGACTGGACTTCCACTCCCCTTTACAACTGTTTCTTACATTCTATTGCTCGGCTCTTCTTTTCTTGCAATGACATGGCATCAGTCGGAGGGACTACGCCCCATGGTAACTTGCCTTATTTGGCCGGTTGAAGCGTGTTCCTTGAAGTCCGTCGAAAGGGGGAAGGTTTTAATATACGTGCAACAAAGACATGGATGAAGCGCAAGGTTCCTTGTGCCCCTCGAAGCGCGTTAATCATGAGGAAGCACCTGCGGGCAACGATGTCCTTGTGGCTTCCCTTGAAGAGAAGTGATCAAACATTTGGTTGTTATGCTTTTTTTTGGCTGGCGGGGGGTTTGGGGGGGGGAACGCACCATCTTGCCGTTCGATTGATCAAGGGTTTCATGACTTCCCCCCCCCCCCACCAGGCAAGTATACAGTGAACTTCCTGGACTAGAAGCGTTTGAGCTTTGGGAGCCTGTGAACTTTTGGTCAGTAGATTAAAAAAGGAGACATCAGCATGTGGCCAATTCCCACGTCGCAAGAGGGGCCGCTGCCCATTGTCCAATCTGGGGACCCGAAGCCGCACCAGTTGGTTTCCTTTGGTTTCCCTCGAGCGGTGATCTTGCATAGCTCTTCCCAGCGCCTAGTCTATGTTTATTGGGAATGGTCCCGTGGTCCCGTCCAGGCCGCGTAGGGGCCAGAAGCAACCTGACCCACCCAATGACAACGAGAATGTGGCCTTGGGCCGCCGGGTGCGGTTGGCAGTTGAAACGTTTGCTTCCCGGAAAGCTTCGCGGTTCCAGGCACAGTCCAAAGATGGTCTTTTTCGAGGATCTCAAAAGGCAGCCCGGAAACAGGCAAACTGCCTTGGAAGGTTTTTTTTGCATGTTCAACCAGGGCAAAAGGCAAGCCCCACAAAGCAGCCGCCCCTCTCTTCCCTTCCCTTCCCTTCCCTTCTCTTCTCTTTCTCTTCGTCTATTTTCAGGCTTTGTTTTGTATGGGCTTCTCATCGCCTCGAGCCTTTGGTCCTGGTGCCTGAGATTGCCCGGCAGTGGAGCTATGCACATTGGGCTTCCCAGCGGGGATTTGTCGCTTGTTCTGGAGGAATTTGGGGTTTGGGGTTTGGGGATTGGGGGATTTGGGGGAAGGGGACCCTTTGGCATGGTTTTCCGTGGTCAAGGAGAACGATGGCCCCCAAGCAGAGTTCAGTGCGAACTTGCACATTTGCATAAGCTCGGCAAACTTGGGAGCTACGAAGTAATTCACATACTCAAAGGAAGTTGAACAAGAACTTCAGTACTGTTCTTAATTGAGGTTGGCTCTCTACATATATGTGTATATATCTATATATATATACATGTATACACGCACACACACACACACATATATATATATATACACATGTCTGCATACATACACATACACGCGCGGACAATGTATGCGCATCATGCGTGAGTTTGCTGTAGGATGACCCCATTCGATCCAACCCCCGTGGGGCCCGTGCATGGCTTCTGGCTACAGAAGGACCCCTTGTCGTCATCTGTTCTCGTGCTTGCGCACGCTTTCTCCCCGCCTTTCGGATGCTGAAGTTGTCTAGAGATCCACGTGCTAGTTTACGGCGGGGCGCTCGGTGGCGCAAGGGGGCCCGACTTTGCCTCGTTCAACGCCGTTCGTTCCAAGACAGGCTGGCATGGCCGTTCGACCGGCGAGCTGAATCTGTGATTACCCCGTGCACTCGTGCCAAGTTCTTTTTGGAAAGGTTGCTTCAGAGGTTTTCCCAGACCTTGCCTTGTAGGCCGAGTCAGCACCGGGGAAGTTAGTTGAGGGACGAAATGGCTGGCGCAAGCTTTCCAGGATTTGGTGGCAGGATGTGTCCCATGGTGTCCGGGATGACACTTTGGCCCATGTTGCTTTGATCGGCAAGCCTTGGGGGACTAATTAGTTTGCGGATGTTCTTCTTGTTTTCTTTGACTGCACCTCCTGGCACACCAAGTTCAGGCACGCTGTACACTATGCGCTGGCTGCGCAAAGCCTCACTT